TAAACTTTATAAGAGTACTCGTCGGGCTCGTCGTTATCAAAATCAATAACGAAACAAAATCGTACATATCTACTCGTATGACTATTCCGGATTGATACTGTTGCTGATACGGGTATAAATTACAGTCTTTACATATCTCAATTTATACAGTTTGTGACGGTAAACGTCAAATTAGCGCTGATAATATAACCTAATTGCTGCCTGCGGGGGCAGCACCTACCGGAGAGACGAAAAACGTAACGAAGGAATTCGGCGCGCGAGCAGACGGAACGCGCGCGATTGAAATTGAATCAGTGAAGCATTGACCACCATCACGATCGCCCGCTTTTTCTCGCTAATACCGATCCTTGTGCCGCTAACGACTTGACGATCAGAGAGGAACGCCCAGATCAACGACGATAGTGATTGCTGCTGCCAAGGTGCCGGACAACTGCCAAGGAGAGAGACCTGAGCCGACGAAGAAGCGTCGCCTTTCACGAGACCGGCTGAGTGTGTGTGAGGTTTCGCTATCGAGGGCGAAACCGCGTGTACGCGAGTTCGTGATCCGCGACATAAACACAAAACGGTTCCCTCGCAGTGTGACTGGTTTAGTGTCATCTTCGCACGCCTACGATATTAAGGTAAGCTGGCCAGCTTAATCTCGGGGCCGCGATACGATTGCATGAGCGACGATTAATTTTCCGACATCTCAAGCGTGCATGTAATAGCTCTTCCAACAAAGAGCAGCGAGCGTCACGACACTGCATGATATCGTCGAGCGAGCGTCGATGTAAACAAACACGCGGGCCGACCTTATGTAGCATTTGATAGATAATAAAAGGTTCTATTCGTGACATTAACAAGTGCTTTCGACTCGCTCATTCCGTATTGCTTCCACTCACTTTCTCATAGGTTAATAAATTTACTGGTTGACTGACATCTGTCTCCCCATGCTCTCCGGATTGCGTTTTGAGCATAGATGATTACATTCGCCCTCTAATGAATCCGCGCGAATAAAAATCATTAAACGGTATCTACCCCGTTACAAGTTAAACGTAATATTTCCTGTAGAAGATATTATTGTACATTTTCATGTTATTCTGTATTGATACAAGGAATGAAATATTTTTATTTGTAATATTAGAACACCATAAAACACTATGAAACAATATAAAACAGTATAAAATACCATATAATACCGTGGAAGCCCATGGAGTTCCATAAGGCACAATGGAGGACTATGAATCCATCAAGATGCGTCGAACACCATAAAACACCATAAAACACTATGGAAACACATGGAGCCATAAAGTACTATGTACGAGGTGTGTTCAAAAAGTAACTAGAATTTTTAAATTTCGCGGGTTTGGAGAGTCCGCTTGTATAAAATTTTTTTCTATTATGTTGGCACACATGCCCCTGAAGTACGATAAAATTTTCAGCAATATTCATTGCTTACTTTTTAAGTGGCAGCCGCTAACGTTAGACGTGTTTTTCGAGCTCGGCGATTTTTGTTTGTGAAAAAAAATGGATCAAAGAATTTGTATTAAATTTTGCGTAAAAAATGAAATAAAGTGTAGTAAAGTTTGTCAAATGTTAACAAAGGCATATAGTGAGTCTGCTATGAGTAAAGCAAGGATTTATGAGTGGTATAAGCGTTTCCAAGATGGCCACGAAAACGTTGAAGATGACGAACGACCCGGACGCCCAAGCACATCAACAACCGATGAAAACGTGAAAAAAGTGAAAAAAATGGTTATGAACGATCGCCGAATCACAATCAGAGAAGTCGCTGATGATGTTGGCATATCAGTTGGCTCATGCCATCAAATTTTTTCGAATGTTTTGGGTATGAAACGTGTGGCAGCAAAATTCGTTCCAAAATTGTTGAATTTCGAACAAAAACAGCGGCGAATGGAAGTTGCTCAGGAGTCGCTAAATGAAGTCAATAACGATGCAGAACTACTAAAACGTGTTATAACAGGTGACGAAACATGGGTTTATGGATATGATGTCGAAACTAAGGCTCAATCGTCCCAGTGGAGGCATTCTGGATCGCCAAGACCGAAAAAGGCTCGACAAGTGCGGTCGAATGTGAAGGTTATGCTCACTGTGTTCTTCGATTTTAATGGCATAGTGCATTATGAATTCTTTCCACAAGGTCAAACAATCAATAAGCAGTACTACCTACAAGTTCAACGTTGTTTGCGTGAAGCAATCCGAAAAAAACGCCAGGATTTGTGGCAAAACAATTCATGGCTTTTGCACCACGATAATGCGCCTGCTCACACTTCATTGCTTGTTCGTGAATTTTTGGCCAAAAACGAAACTGTAACGATGCCTCAGCCTCCATATTCGCCAGATATGGCTCCATGTGACTTTTTTCTATTTCCAAAAATAAAGAGAACATTAAAAGGCCGTCGTTTTACAAGCATAGATGACATTGAAAGCGAATCGCTGAAAGAGCTAAAAGCTCTTACAAAGATCGAGTTTCAAAAGTGTTTCGAGGATTGGAAAAAGCGTTGGCATAAGTGTATTGTATCTGAAGGGGACTACTTTGAAGGCGACAACATTAATGTAGATGAATAAATAAATATTTTTTTCATAAAACGAAAATTCTCGTTATTTTTTGAACACACCTCGTAGAATTTTTTTTGTTCAAATGAGGACGATTTTCCTTTATTTTCTCGCTTAACTGGTCCAACAACGACGCATAATAGTCTCCGATGATTGTTTGTCCTTTTTCTAAATAGTCCACGAAGATAATTCCACGTAATCCTCAAAAGACATTGGCCATAAACTTGCCGGCCAATTTCACTGTCTCCGTCTTCTTTGGAGCTGGTTGTCCTTTCACAATCCACTACTTTGACTGTTCCTTCGAGTGTAGTGGTGTATCCACGTTTCGTTTACAGTTATGAATTGATGCAGAAAGTCGTCCGGATTGCGGTGAATGTGCGCTAAGAGGGCTTCAGCAACCAACACTCGACTACGTCTGTCTCGACTGAGAGCAAATGCGGCACCCATCTTGCCGAAATTTTTTTCATGTCCGATTGCTCATGTAAAATCGAAATGATTGAACCTTTTGAAGCCCTTGTGGCCTCAAATGTTTTGTACAGTTTTGATGTTCGGTTACTCAACACCATGTGTATGGATTTTATTGATCCATACACATCGTGGATTTTATTGATCATTTCCGGAGTGCTCAAGTCTATAGGACGATCTGAACGTTGTTCATCTGCAGTCGATGTACGACCACGTATAAATTCATTTACCCAATTGTAAACAGTTGCAAACACGGGGCAGATACACCATGAACTGCGTCTAACTCAGCTTTGATTTCTTTCGAAATGTTTTATCACCACTCGGAACTCACTTTTTTCGTCATTGTTAACGGTAAGCAAAAGTTGTTCACTTTGATAGATGATAAAAATGTAACTACTCGATGGATCTAGCTGAAACTTCAACAGCACTTTATTTAATAGTGACACTTGCTGGTGCAATATATGTTGAGATTCTTTGAGCACCATCTCTTGGATTTTCTATGGACTTATTGACCGACCCTCGTGAAACATTTTATTATGTTTCAACACAGGATTACATCATGGTATATATCATTTTGTGATAAAATCTTAAAAATTTATTCATGATATTTTAAAATCATAAAAATCAACAGTTAACGTCATTGTGTATTTGTACCAATAAATTATTTTGACAGTTATACGTAATTTCTAATTATAAGAATATTAAATACAACTAATTTTTAATTTCAATTTTCACACTTTTTTGTGTTCACAAATTTTGATGTATTCATGCATTATCATACGAGAATGAGATATGCGTGCCAAAAGTGCTAAACATCATTAAATTGTGATTATAAAAAGAGAATCGATTTAGGTAATAAATTTAAATTATTATGATTAGCACACGACTCTATTTACAAATTTATTACGGGAATTTTCAGGATGCAAAGATTGTTCTAACTACTTAGTAACGCGCGTAAGAGTGTTTGGAGTGGGAAAGAGAGGATTTCAGTGGAAGAATATCATGCAATGAATTCATTAAAATAAATTTTGATTGCTGGGCCAACTACAAAAAAAGAAATATAAAGAAAGAAACAATAAAACTCAGTAACTACGTTCCCGGATTGGCAATGGTACGATGCTGTTCATGGAGAGGCGCTCAACTGTTCTGGGCTGACAAGAATGTTCGCTCACGCAACGGTGAACCTCTCTGACCACTTTCGAGGATTATAAGTCGTTCAATGGTGATCATTAGTTGCATTAATTCTCACCGTTGAGGATTTGGTCACTTCGAAAGCAACGATGTGCAAGTCTTCCGTGTTCATGGTAACGGAAGAGAAAAAAAGAGAAAGAGAAAGCTCATACTGCCTCCAGCTGTAGCTGCTACTACAGGCCGGTTATTGCTGTAACTTCTCACTGCCTTCCCTCGTTGTCGCTATAGCTCCGGATACCGTTGTTGCTGCAGCTGTCTCCTGCTATTACTGTTCTGGATCGCTGGAAAGCTTCCTGTCGTGACTGTCGTCCAAATGCGAGTGCCCGCACAGCCGACGCCCATCTAAAATTCTTCAATCGTTTCTTTCTACCTCGCTATCCCCCCGCTTTACGACTCATCACCTTTACGACTTATCAAATTCCGCGCCGTTTCTCTCTCCTAACTCCGCGAATCAACATTTCAAACAAACACATCAAACAGATAAGCCGAGCATTAATGGTACACGTATGTACACACGCATGGGCGCGACTTGACGAAGGTGCGCCCGCAAATCGTGAGAAGCGACGAGTGACGGTGTAATCACTAGTGAAGTGATTTTCCCTGTCACATGATATTCAATTCCATGTATAAAGATATTACTGACAATTTTTTCACCCCCTCAAAATTTTTGAAACCTGCATTGGAATTATTAATATTTCCTGTGTCTAAACCTGTTCTTAATGGAATGATCATTTGTGATTCCAATATAGGATTATTAATTATTATTATGCATTCTAATTCTTTTGTAGGTTCAGTATGCTCAAAGTACGTGCTGTAAAATGAGTTCTGTGAGAGATCTTCCTCCAATAGCTGGATCAATAATATGGGTTAAACAAATAGATTTTCAACTTACCATGTATCTCAAACGTGTTGAAGATGTACTAGGTAAATAGAAGACTTTATTAACACTTTACTGGTATCTTTGTACAGTTATTTTCGTAGATTGAAACTGATTTGATTACATTTAAAATCATGAAGTATAAAAAGTGTGCCAAATATTTAAACACTCCGATAATTGTGAACGAATATATTATTTCTCAGAAATTGTATCATAAGTAATATTGAAGATGATCGATATGCAGTTACTATTATGATGACAGACCGTAATTAGGCTTAATTTAATTCTTTAACCTAATTAATTTATTGAAATTAATCTGAAGATCAGAATAAAAACCAACATGATGTACAGAAAGAGCAAGGTTGTGAGAAGCAATATTGCTTGATCTTGTTCTTTCTCACTCAACAACCTTCGAGAGTTATCATGATGATAGGAGGAGGGGCCATAAAAGTAAAATCTATCTTTTCCCATGGATTTTTTCTCATTGTAAGAAGGTTTAGAATTTATCATTGAAACCGAATAAAATTGTAGAAATCCGAAGATTTTTCTTACTCTAATTAATAATAAATAATCATGCCCACTTAGAACGTCTTATCAAGTTTTCATTTTGAAGCTTCAATTAATCAGAAAATAGCGAAAACCATAAAAAAATGTCCGTAATATTAATAGGTTTTAAGTAATTTCGTAAATTATTATAATTAGAAACCAGATAATAACTAATTTTAACAATCATCATATTGTAATGCGTACACTTTCGAAATATATTTTTATAACTACAAAATAACTAATAAATAATTCATCTTTTATATTTCAACATGAAGTAAAACAAATATTAGAATGATAATGAATTTTTTTTTATGAATCTTCTAAATTTCGCAAGTTTTCTTATTGTTTTATAATAGATAAATATTGAATCATTGTATTGTATAGTTATTACGATTGATTATTAATTCTTTAATGTTAAGTAAGTAATATATAATCAAATAAATCCGCGATAAGAATTATAAATAATAGCAACACTCTTGTCTCGAAAATGATACTCCAAGAGCCATATTTGGAGAAAAAGGCTCAAGCTTAAAAGGGATCGCCCACTTTTTCTCTGAAAAATCACGCTCAGAGATTAATAAAAAAATACTAGATAGGATAAAAAAATTTTTCTACTAATACAAAACTTAGTCTTCATCAAAAAGTTGAATTGAAAAAAATTGAAAAAAATAAATATCGCCTACAAACACCACTTTTCGCTCGTAGTACCTTTGAGCTGAATCTTACGACAAAATAAATAGCACCATTGAATTCTACGTCAAAAAATACATCGAAAACATGTATCATACTTTTTTACATAATGCGATGCTTTTATTAATTTTAACAAATAGAATGATTTTTTACGCCGGCCAACCCGACTAACTACGTAGAAACTTAATTCTTTTAAATTAAAGGTCAACCCAACATTTCTTTCATACATAGAATATATGTTTTCAATGTATTTATTGAAATAGAATTCCCTACTCAAAAACCGCTAGCAGTAAAAAACCTCGAGAAAACCTGGATTTATTATTTTAGCGCTTTTTTTGTTGGACCCAACGATTAAATATGTCGTATTCTATGTAAAAAATACTTCTGAAACATTATAGAAAAGTTTTCATTTTCTTTACACTATGAAGAATTAAATATTGAACTTTGATGCTCTTACAAGGAAACCCCCCCAACCCGACCTCACCGATTTCAATAATCTTTTGATATGTTATAGTTCATCAAAAAATAAGACATACGTATTTTTTTTATCGGCGGAAAAACACTTTGAGGGGGTGAAAACAACCCTCAAAGTTCACCCCCAAAAATAGATTTTCCAATGTATCTCAGCATCTAATTGATATTTTACGACCAAACAAATTTCATATCACTTCTCATGTGAAAAGCAAACTAGCACATGCAATTCCGACCACAAGGGATGCAACCCTTATTTTTTTTATTTAAAATACTATCTATTTCATGGCTATTTTTATGAAAAAAATTAAAATAACCCGAAAAAAATTGGAAAAAATATTACCCTACATAAAATACAAAAATAAAGTTAATCTAGTCAAGGTTTTTTTTGAAACTACCCCCTTAAAGTTGAAAAACCACCCCTAAAAAATTGTTTTCAATACATTACAGGTGGTGTTGATAATTTACTGTAAAATACGTTAAGCATCATTTATACTGTACAAACACAACTATCTCGTGCAGTTTCGACCACAAGAGTTGCAACCCCTAATTTCTGTCATCGAAATTTTTACCTTCTTTGTACCTATTTTTGAAAAAAAGTTCATAATGAGCTTGAAAAAATTAGTAAAAATATTACCGTGGATAGAATAAGAAAAAAAATTTACCTTTTATTTTTAAAACCACCCCTTATGTTGAAAAACCACCTCCAAAAAATTGTTTCCAATACATTACAGGTGGTGTTGATAATTTACTGTAAAATACGTTGCTCATCACTTATAATGTACAAACACATTTATCTCGTGCAGTTTCGACCACGAGGGTTGCAACCCCTAATTTATGTCATCGAAATTTTTACCTTCTCCATTCCTATTTTTGAAAAAAAGTTCATAATGAGCTTAAAAAATTCAAAAAATTATTATCGTGGATAGAATACGAAAAATATGTACCAATTCAAGATTATATCACCCAACAAGACCCAGAACTGGGACAACGTTTTTCCAAAGTATTTTGTTGCGCCGATTCCGAATCTGTCCGGAAAAATGATCCATCACCAAGTAGCAATTTCTAAAACTCCCCTTATATCCCAATGGTAATTTCCCGCACGAACCCGCACTATCAGAATGCTTACAACCCCCCCTAATAACCCCCTAAAAACCTCCAATGAAAATGCCGTTAGCCCCCCACTAATAGCCCGAAGACATAGCTGAGCCCCCTTGCAACCTTATGGCAATGCTTGCAACCCACCGAATAACATAATGGCAACGTTATCAACCCTGCTAACTACTGGGGTTATTAGGGGGTTATTAGGGGGAGGATCTTATTGGGGGGGGGAGTTATTAGGAGGTTAATGAGGGGTTGTAAGCAATGCCATTGGGGGATATTAGGAGGGTTATTAGGGGGAGGTTTATTACCATCGCCATTCGGTGATTAGGAGGGTTGATAGCATTGCTATTGTTTTTGTTGGTTGAGTTTTTCTCCTTTCTTGTGACTAAAATTGTAAACTGCCAAGTAATATATATTTAATTGATTTTTATATGCGTTACTATAATTCATTCAGTTACCAATTAAAAACAATCAAAAAAATTAGGACGGATTTATTGTTCATACTTCTTACAATAATGATATTCTTCATAGAAGTGCTCGAAACATAATGATTTTTTGCACCAACCGCAACGTATAATAGCCACATTTTTGCATCCTTCTATGTCACAATGTGTATTGCAGGAATCTCCAAAACTGTAAGCAACAGGATTGTCAAAATTTTCTGGTTTTTTAGTGAGGTAACCACTCTTGAACCAGGAATATTTAAAAAGATTAGTATATCTTGGTGAAGATAATTGATTGTGGACTAACGACTGAAGTTTAATAATGTTGTTTCTTTTATGTAAATCCAAATCATAATTCATCAAAATTACGGTATCTGAAAATTGGCGGACAAAGTTCTTCCATATGCGAAATCCAAAAACATCAAGTGGCTGAATTTTTCCCGTTGTGCCAGTCGGTATTTTTTTAAAATTTATAATTTTATCACGTGGAGTTACAGTTTCTATGGCACTGTCACAATGACCGCTCCAGGAGTCAAGCAACAGCATCGTATTGGAACCTACATTAGGGAAATATACTTTTTGCAGCCATATTTTAAAGAGATCTAAAATCAAAAATCTTATTTGTAATATCATTTATAATGATATTAATTGTAACTAGATGGGATTATGTATACCTGTAGTCAACTTTCCAGATTTAGATGCTTCTACGTAAACATTTTCGGATCTAAATAAAGTGCTTTCAACAATGGATCCAAACTCACCGCTAGATTCCTTCAAAACTAAAAAGCGTGGTGACAATAATTCTCCTGTGGCTGATATGAGTGGCTGTATAGTATAACTGTGGGTTGTTGAAGAAACTGATTGTACTAAACACTGTACCTGCTTTTCTCCTTCAACCGCTAGCGTTCTTCCGGAGTGCATTTCCAGTTGGAATCCGCTCTGATCAGAATTAAACACATTATGAATTCCAATTATTCTTATGCCTGCTTTAACATCAGCAATAAAAGTATTTGCTTTAATCGTTAGTTCTGAATTACTTTCTAGTGTTTTCTTGGTTATAAACTTATTTATTTTCCGGGATACTATTCTATGAGCTTTCTTGAATTTACAAAGCCAGTTATCCGAAGCTTTGAATCTTACATCTTCTGATCCTATAATCTTTTGAGCTTGCAATGCCCATCGACATATGTCACGATCATGAATGATGTAACCAGCGTCTACTGCTGCTTTAAAATTATCAAAAGTGTACTGACAAATTCTTGCAATTTTTTCTCTATAAGTACCACCTTTGTTGACTGTATGAGCCCAACGTTTCAACTGACTCACAGATGAAACTTTCTTAAATTTTTGACGTACACTTTCAACACTTAAATTTTTTTTTTTGCCACTTCTCCAGTATTCTACGGCTCTTTGCTTATATTCAAAACTGACATCTTCATTGTCTTTGGTACAATGGTCGGTGGGTGCTTCGAAATCGTCAGGAAAATGGTGTTGAACTTCATCTTCTACTATTTTTGCAGCATGATCTTTGTAATTTTCTTGAAAATCTAATGTATCTTCAACGATCATATCTACTTCATTGAAATCATTCACGGAATCTATTAAAATGCTTTTAATTTTTTTCGACAATTGAATCTCTTTATAATTTGTCTCACTTTGAGGTATTTGTAGAGTTTGAAAGTAAGCTAATAATAAATTTAAAACGTTCAGAGCGTTAATTTTCATTTTTTAATCTGAAATAAAAAAAAAATATATATATATATATCTTATATATCTTCTATTATATTAAACAG